GAAAAATACCCTCTTAGATGTCTTATCATACCAGTCAGAACAAAAAAAAATATGAAAAAAAACTACAGTGAGGTTATAGGCTTGACTCCCACAGCTTTGCAGTCACTCCTCTGGAGGACCAGTATAAATTCCAGTGCCCTGCATAAAGTGGAAAGTAAATGTCATGTGAATTTATTGAAAAACAAGTGATTCCCCAGAGATTAAACATCTAATAATCAGGAAATGGACAGTAAGAAGTGATAGGTCACCTCAAGTCAAGCGAAATGGTTCTCAGCATCTACCAGAAGGCAGCGCTGAGCCCCGCTGGCCTGGGGATGGGTGGTGACAGTCCCTGAGTCTTCCCTGAGTGTCCAGGTAAAAATGAGAGGCCATCTGTGTCCAGCTGGTGCCACGGGGACTCTCGAGCCACCAGAGATTGTCAGCCACCACCATTCCCACAAGTGACTTGGATGTGCCTCAAGTTTGCTGCTCCTTTGCTGTCTGCACTCAGAAATGCTGGTGGCAGGAGGGATGTGCCAGCACCCCACAAGTGTCCCCAAGTTCTCAGAGCTTCCCACCAAGTCCTTCTCCACCACAGGACTGTCTGGTGACCTCCTCAGCACAGCTGCTCACAGGGACTGGAACCTGAAGACAGACACCCACGGCACTGGCAGCCTCTCCATCCCGTGGATCTGCCATGGTCAGACCCACCTGTCAGACCTTCTGGGGACATTAACGGGCCTTAGTTGGGGCTGATCTCCTTAGGGCTTGTCTTCTTTAGGGTGGAGCTTTCCATCTCTGCCCATTTCTCTCAGATATGCTCAATACAAAGTCAGTAATTTCCCATCATCCTCACAGGCTCCATCCTCATCCCATTCTCATGATTGGAGTGGCTGCCACAGGTCACCTGAATGTGGCTGTAGGAAGAAGCTGGATGCAGCGGTGGGAGAGGCTCTGCCTGGCTGGCAGGTCCCTCCTTTGGTGAGAGGTGTCCTCAAACCTGTCAGAGATGCCACCTTCTCCTGTTGTCTCCAGGACCCCAGTGGTGGGAGCACTTAGCAGCCGTGGGCTCTGGACAGCCGGACATAGCTTGGGCAGGAGGTCTCCCCCTTCCCTGCCGTCCATCGATGTGTCTTCCACCAGCTTTTCTTTTTGCTTCCTTAAAGAGTCTGTGTCATTAACTAAACCCACAACTTTCCTTAAAGGGATGAGGATGATGAGGATGAGCAGCTCCATTTAATAGCAAAGATGGCTCTTACATGTGATTCTCTTCTCAATTCTTCTGTGCAGAGCGGTGACACCCAGGTGTGTCCCCTGTACAGTCCTGCAGAGCCTCCTGGGCTGCAAGGGGGTTGCTTTCCCAGCCCCAGAGATACAGGTATGAGACCCCATGTCCCAGAGCACGAAAGCTGCTGCAAAGCTTTGGTTCTGTTACAACTAAACCTGAAAATCCTTCTGCCTTCCACTCTGATCCTATTTCATTACCTGTATGTGGGGAAGATTTTATTCCTTACAAATGGAGGGGGAAACGGCACAGTAAGTTCTAAGTGTAACATAAAAATGGGTTGCACAGGGAGCCCAAAGTTCCTCTGCTCTTTCACATTCACCTCATGTTTCCTTGTTGGGGAAGTTGGGAGCAGCTGTGCCCAAATCTCACCAAAATCTTATCCTCAGCCTTATGCTTCAGGAAGTCGAGGGATGAGGGAACAGCACAAGGTGTAACAGTAAACTAGTAAAATTTTCTCTTGTATCAGAACTGTTCTTGTACAGAGCCACTGAGCACTGCAATATTCTGTCTGTATGTATCAACCCCAAGTATTCTGCTTGTAAAACTCATCCCTGCACATTATCCATCCCCATTCTGGACTGACTGTACATGTGCCTTCACCCTTTTTCATGGTTTGTCATCTTTTTTTAACACAATTACAGAACTTGAATAAATCACTGAACTGCAGTTACAAGTCCTATGCAAGAGGTGACTGGGGAGTCAGTTTTTGATATTTCTGTGTTTCTGTGTTGTTTTTAAAGTCGCCATGAAGACTTTTCAAAGAAGCTCAACAGAATGATTACCCCAAAAAACATTCAGATTATTAATTTTTTTTTTTAGCTAAAAAGCAATTAGCATTTTGGATGCTGAATCTTTTAGCAGCTTTGAAAAGCTCAGCCTAAACCCCAGTTCCTCACTGGGCCATGCTTGGAGAGCAAGAGCAGTAGCAGCAGGAAGGACGAGCTCCAGAACAGCCGGCGTGTTCCACAGCCGGTGTTTCCTCTCAAGAGAAAGGTTGGAAAAGGTTGCCTTAAGCCTTCCCTAAAATGCATCGGAGAATGTTCCCATCCCCAGCCGCCCTGGGCCCTCTGCCAGCCTGGGGCAGAGCGGGCACGTGGCCGTCAAGCAGCTCTCCATCACCGGGCTCTGCTGAATGCCTTAACTGGGGCCCAGCTGCCACTCTGGACCTTGGAGAAGAGGCAAAAACAAGGCCCACGTTTTTCTACATCACCTATGCTGTAGGACTGAAACCTTGTCCGAAACTCAAAGCTAAAAAAATCCGTCCTTTTCGTGTGTTATGTGTTCAGTCGGTGTGAGCGAGGTTAGTAGGGAAAGGGCGTCTCCTCCTCGTAGGACACTGTGTAAACATTTGCTGTGTGTCAACAGAGTGAAGGACACGACTGCCTGGGATACGTTGTGTAGTGTGCCTGTGTGTATGTAACCTGGTTTTGGTTGTTAGGTTGTAATGCTGTCTCTTGACTGAGAAAAGAAATCTAATATAAAGAAAAATCACAAGAAATAATAAAAAAAACTATTTAAACTCTATTTTATGTGTATTCCTTTTAAAGCCTGCAAGTTAATCTGTCTCCAAAAAGCTCTGTTTTTTTAAAAAAGCTTTTAAAAGTCAATTCTGTAAGAGACAGGTAACAGAAGAACGTCCCCTTTGAAGATAGGGATGCGCAGGAGAGGGGATGGCACAGGCTGAGGTGTTGGAGGGGATTTTTTTCCCCTCCACATTCCCAAACCCTACAACTCAGTAGGAGATGGACAGAGCTAAAGCAGATGCAGTTTGCCCTGGAAAAGCACGGAATCCCAGCTGAGCTGATCCCTGCAGCATCATCTGTTTCTCCAAGCACATACCCTGCAGTGTGAGACGTTTTCACCACCCACTGAGAGGCAGAGATGCCTCCAAGGTGATTAAGGGCTTGGAACATCCAGCAGATGAGAGGCTGAGAGCTGGAACTGCCCAGCCTGGAGAAGGTTCAGGGACCATCCTGCCCATGTGTGCAGATTCCTGATGCGGGAAGTACAGAAGACAGCCAGAACATTCTCAGCCCGGGGCAGGGTGAGAGGAGTAAATTGAAGTAAAAAAAAAGAAAGAGAAATGTCATTTAAACACAAGAAAATGTTTTTTTCCTTCTAGAAACTTCTAGAGTGTTTGGCCACAGAAGCAGGTTGAGAGGTTGAGGAGTCTCCATCCTTGGAGATACCCAAGATGGGAGCAGACACAGCCTTGAGCAGCTTGGGGCAGGGGTGGGATGGGGCTTGCCCAGCCCAACAGCTGCTCCAGCTCCTGCAGCAGAGCCAAGGCAAGGGGTGCTCCAGATGTCACACACTTGATATCCCAGTAGCTTGGAGAAGCACTTCAAGGAATTGTTAGGAATTGGGAATGAAAAATAGGCAGGAGTGAGCTTTGACAAGCTTTCTCACTGGAAAACCAAATTCACCAGTGGGAGACAACGCACGGGGTTATTTGGGATGGATGGACCTTGGGAGGTCCAGTCCAACATCCTGCACACAGCAGGGTAAATACAGAATTCATACCATGTTGTACAGGGCTTTGTTCGGCCAAAGCTTGAAATTCACCCGAGAGAGATCCACCACCACATCCCAGGGGGAATATTTTGTTCTATCCAGTCAGAACATCCTCTCCTTCTGTTTATTCTAGTGGTGTCCTTTCCTCCCAGCACCCACCTCTGTAAGAGCCCAGCTGCATCTTCTCCAAGACATGAAAGAGTGATGAAGCCCCTGGCCATCCTTGTGGCCCTCTTGTGTGTCCCCTCTACCTTAGCAATATCTTTCTTGTGTATGTGGATGTGTGGTGGTGGAAACCAGGTGATAATATTCCAGCTGGGGTCTAACAAGTGCCAAGAAAAGGGGAACAATCACTTCCCTTACCCACGGGCTGCCATCCTGCCTGCACAGCACAGCCCTCCCTGCACACAGCCAGGCTCAGCTCTCCTCCAGGGCTCCCACTGCAGAGCTGCTCCCCACTCAGGCATGGAAATGGTGGTCAGGCACTGGAACAGGCTGCCCAGGGCAGTGGTGGGAGTCACCATCCCTGGAGGGGTTTAAAAAACATGCGGGCACCTGGAGACATGGTTTAGGGGTGGCCTTGGCAGTGCTGGGGTAACAAATGGTCTTAGATGGTTTTTCCAACCCAAATGATTCCGCGATTCTGTGACATCGGCCTCAGTGACTATTACCTTGTACACCAATAGGCAATTTGTCATTATGAAAGCTGACAACTTATATTTAATGACAATTTATATTTAATCGGCCTTTTGAGATACGTATTTTTAAAATTCAGTAAGAAAGAGAAAAGGTGAAAGTGTTTGTGCACAAAGCCCCGAGCAATCTGCACAGCCCGGCTCCCGGTTCTCCTGGGAACACCAAGCCTGACCTACTTTCCGCGGCGGCACAACCCCACCCAGCACCACTGATGGCAGCAGCGTTACCAGATAAACGCAGCCCTCACCCCACGGAACGAGGCCCTTCCCCTGCCCGCTCCCTGCTGAGCGGCTGTTTGTGGGAGCCTCAGCCGCTGCTCCCTGCACAGATCCCGGGGCAGGGTGGCCCTCCCGTATTTCCTTGCTTCGCAGGAACAGCTGCATCAGTTAATTTGTTTGTGGTTAAACAAATTCCTTTCTAAAGCTCCATATAAGGAGCTTGCAGGCCCGGAGCTCTAAATAATCCCTTCAATCCTCCTGTTTGGAATGATGTTGCTGCTGTTGCTAATAATAATTCAACCCAATTTATAGGACAATAACATTTATTTAGAGCATGAGGGATTCCACATTATACAAACCCTTAAATTTATTTTTTGTTTCACTGGTCCATTTCTACAACAAATACATCAGATCTACTATATAATAAAATTATTTACATTTCCAAACAAGATGGGGTTTGTTTATAAACCCTCAGACTGCTATTCACATACAGTACTTAAACAACAGCACAATACATTATTTTAATACCTAAAAATGACAACCCTGTATTCTAAATTGTTTATGAAAAGTGGAAACAAATAACTTTACAATTATCTTCCCCTCCCCGTCCATTTCATACAAACACATAACCCTAATGTGCTAACCCTGGACTTCACTTTGCAAATCCAGGGGGTTTTAGAAGAACCCAGTTTTTATAACTATTTATCTGTTTTTTAGAAAAAAAAGTCATTTATTGGGAACAGTATAATATTAAAATGACTTACTGTACAGAATTTTATTTAAAAAAGAAAAATCACAGCTCAAAATTGCTATTGGTAAATTCACACTCATTTACAAGTCTCATGTTTCCATGCAGTAATTTACTTGGATTTTCTTCTTTTTGACTGCATTGCACTGGCACTCGTTTCTGAAATCAAGAGAAGAAAAAAAGCATGGATACGGAGTCGGTAAGCCATTCCCCAGAGGTTTGCCCTGTTATTCTTCCAAACTCACACCAGAGTGGAAACCTCTGGAGACCAGGATTTCCCAGCACTGGGACTGACTCCTCAGCCGCTGTCACACAACTGGACCCATCGCCCCGACAGCGTCGGCAGCCACACACACCACGGTCCCCGCGCTGCTCCAGGCACCAGTGCTGGGAGTCTGACATTTATGAAGCCCTAATATAACAGCTTTCAAAAGAAGAGCCAGATATTTTTAACTGTTCTTTAAGTTCAGTTCCCCACGTGCCACAGCCTGCTGGGCCTTTTCCCAGAAGGAAGCACAGCCTTGGGCACCACCTGCGTCCGTCAGCCCCAGGCACCACGGAGATGGTGCCACACAACAGCCAGGGAAGGTGTTTTGGAGCCTGCCATGCAAGTTAAGAACCTAGTTGTCTGAGTTCTTGGAAAGTCATTGGAAAACAAGTCTCTTCAGTGTACACTGAGTCACAGGAACACTGCTTATGCAGAGAGACACAAATATTAACACCTGCAGAGCCATGGAGACAGCAGGTGACGTGGCCAGTGCACTTACCAAGGCACTATAATTCCATTTCAAAACAAAAAAAGAGTAAGGACCAAGGCATTTGCATCTTTAGATTTTTTTAAAAAACGTGATTTAAAATGTTGGCAATGTCTCTTTGGCTCTTTACAATGTTTTCCAAAAGCTATTGCAGCTGTGTATATTTTAAGAGTCAAAAGGGAAAAAATTTCCAAGTCCACCTAAAACCAGAACAGTAGCAGTACATGGCTGTTACATATAGTATTTGAATAAACAATCAAAATTTCAAAATTTAACAAACTTGAAGCTACAGTAAATGCTGAAACAGCCCTTGCTGGAAAAGTACTCCAGAAAGGGAAAAAATACCAGTACAGTACCAATTTCAGGAGTGAAAGACCTCCACAGGCACGACTGCAGCCTGGAACCCCTCCAAGCAGCAAGGCTGGCTTTGAAGTAGCTTCAGCACCAGCTGTTGCCACCCTTGCTGCTGCTCCAAGCTCCGTGTTTGGGAGAAGGAATGGGTCCCTGTCCCAGTCCCTTGGGAGCACCACCACCATCTCCCCAAACCCATGGACCAGGGCTGACTCTCCATGTGTTCTCTTCTCTCACAGTGACCCTTCTGCCTCCTGCCTCCCAATGCTTACCAATGGAGTTCCTACTCCCACCAGTCAAAGTCTGCTCTCTTTCTCCCTACTGTATTTCAGTTTTTTTCTTAATTGCTGCTTTTATAATGACCTTAAACAGCCTCTGTCTCAAGAGGTAACTCCTCCCACATTCCTGTTACCATGCATTAGGGGGTTTCTCAGGATACAGGTAATGCACTGAGGCCTGGGGCACCCAAACCAGAATCATTAAGCTCTGATTCACTAGCCAAAATGTACAACAGAGTAGGCACAAGTGGCAAACTTGTAGGCAGGTCACACTTCCGCAGCCACCTCACTACCCTCTGCCACCAAGCACCTGGTTTGGCTCCTGTTCTCTACAGCCTGGAGATAAGGCAGCCACAGCCCAGGTACTCCATGGAGAGCTGCACCCACGTGTCCAGCAAACCCCTGAGACACTGCAGCAGATTCAGATGCATGTTTTAAAAGCAAGGATTTTACTCACAGAGGTAAATGAATTACACAGTCAGCACCAACCCCTAGGAGAGTTCTGGTATTATTTAAATTTGATGCACTTTCATGTTCCCACATTTTCAGACTCTGACGTGTCACTGGTTGTCATCTTTAGGTTTATCCAGTCAGTGTGTGGGGCAGGTCACACGCTTCAGATCCCCTCAAACTCAGGCAGGTATCACCAAAGGGATTTTACATTGGCTTCACATTTTTCAAACTTTTCTTCACAATCATGAAAGAGAATTTATTTTTACAACAGACTTAGATTTTTCTGCACAATCCTGCCACAAGAAGTAAATGTACTTAAATTCAACAGCCACAAAAGTGCAGAACATATAGGTCCCCTGTGTACTCTTTGGGAGTCATTGCACAATGACGTATAGCTGGAAGGCTTCTCTGAAACTCTTAAAGGACAATATTCTTACCATCACACTTTAGTATCTCCATTATGGAAATGGTTGATGAATTCAACTTGACTTCCTTTTATAATCATTTTATATTAATACCTCTTTGTTCTGTATATTATCTTTAAAATATTGGTAGAGTGTTGCCTCCTGATGGTCTCTCTCTACCTTCTTGCATAACTTTGGTCCATCAGCATTTTTCTGACCCTTTAAACATAAGATTCTGACAGAATTAGCTTCAGCCTGGCACTGGGCTGTGCGTATCACACAAATGCTGCATAATTGTGAAAGACTGTAACCTGGGTAGGAATATGGTATGTCAGCACCTGCTAATGCCATGGGTTAACTTCAGGATTTCAGGTGTTCTTGGAAAGAGGAGCTGAGGCTCTGTGCTAATACACAGCACTCCCTGATGCTCCAGGCTGCCATCCTGGCAGCTTTCAGACCATGCCTGAACCTCAGCATTTAATTTGGCAAGAGCTGACCGTGCACTTGGGAAGACTTAAATCTTGTGTCTTTCGGACTTCAGGAAAAAGAAAATGTCACTTTTTGATCTGAGTACAGTCCTTTCAACGGCCACACATTTCTGCCAAGAGAATTCAACTTCAACTAGGCAAGGTGCTGAGCACTATGGTGGTAAGTGTTGCAGAGCAAGTTCCACAAATGCAACAGAGGGGAATTCATACAGGATTTACTGCCAGTGCAGATGTCAGTAAATGCTTCAACACCAACTTGTGGCTAAATCCTTGAAACTAGAGTTAAAGAACCCAACGTGTACAAGCTGCAAACCAGCATTAGGAGGCAGCTACTGCAAGGGCATTATCTGGGGGAGCAGGCCAGGTCCTGCCCTCTCCACAGAGAGGATGCTGTGCACGTTACCTTTTGCCGTGCCGGACGCAGAGGCAGGTCGGGAGGATCTCTTGCGCTGCCCGTTCTCTACAGTTTCCTGTGAAGCGGCAGAATCCTCTGTTCTTGAATTTCTTCTATTTGGAGTTTTAGACTTTTCACAATTCTCTTTTGTCTCATTACTAATAAAGTGGGACAAAATATTTCTGATGAAGTGTAAGAAGAATAATGTTTTTCTATGCAAGTCAGACAAGCTGGAGGATGGCCCGACACAGGTGCCAGTTCCGGACTATTAGCACTGGAGATATGAAACGCTAGAGATATCAGAAGTTCTATCAGATGAAGAATGACCTGAGTAAGCCAGAGTATAGTCCATTTCTATCAAAAATTATCAGAGGATACAGAATTGAGAAGTCCTCAAAGAGAATATTTTCAACATTAGAAGACCAAGAAATTAGATGCATTATAAATTGTCTGCTCTGTTTTCCACAGGTGCCACCATTACTGAAGTCTAGGAAAAGCAAACAGGTTACATTAGAGACTGCTGCAGTATGGGGATACAGAGTTGAAATTGCAGATGAACATCAGGAGGAATTAGGAACTCTTCAGGGAGTATGCCAGCTTTTGTGTTTGCTAAAAGGACTCACTTCATTGATCCAAGTGATTTCTTCACATATTAAAAAGTCTTTATTTAAAACTTTCTGCAAGCCTCAGAGCTTGAAGTTAAAATACCTTTTTTTTTTGCAAGAGAAAGCTTTTTCTGCTATAAAAAAATAATTTTAGGTACTGTGGAAATCTGTGTTTCTTGCCACTGAGACAATAAATGGAGTGCTACCATTTTTTATTAAACTCCTCTTTTATTTTATCACTCTTTAACCTGTAAACTTATTCTGAACTTTGGATGTTTTCTCCTTAATGCCAGACAATTTCTGATGACTAAGCAGTTTCAGAAGATTAAGCTAAACTTATCTCCTGTGAATTCAAAGGTAATTAATTAACCAAATAAATTACTCTGCTAATGGAAAAGGCAAAAGAAAGCTCATTTCAGGCCCTTTGGGTGATACTTGCAGGATTTCAAGAAAAGCTGCCTGAATCAGAGACTGGAGTGAACACACAGTGCAGGGTGACCTGTGTGTGACAGAGGCCCCACTGCAGTGTCACCCTTCAGGGAAGTCCTGCTTTGAGGGGAGAGACTATGACACATACTGGCAGGGTTAAGTAACAGGTATCTGAAATAAAACAGTTTGTCAATGGAAGGAAAGACAAACATTCTCAAGCAAGGACACACACAGCAGAGGAGACTATGGAGGCACATGGATTGTCTCAGATACAAAATAAAGACTGAAATCTATTTCCCCATAAGGCAGAACTATGTGCCATCTATAAACTGGATCCCTTAACCAGGTCTAAAACTGGTCTTCTCCTACGGAATGGGGGCAGCTGAACCAGCAGTCACCTACCACACAGGAGGGAAGCAAACAGGCATCAGCAGCTGAAGTTCAGTTAGTACAGGTAATTTTTACAGATTCTAGTGACTGAATCCACAGCTGGGATTGTCTCACAGGAACCAACATATCACTTCCCTCGTTTTACAGGAGGAAATCAAGTTAGTCCAAGTGAAAATATTTCTAGTGCTTTGTGGGTTGCAAGGTTCCTCTAAGGTTTTAAAGCTTTTTAATAGTTTTAAACTGAGAGTAGGTTTAGATTAGATATTAGGGAGAAATAGGCGCACGGGTTGCCCAGAGCAGCTGTGGCTGCCCCATCCCTGGGAGTGTCCAAGGCCAGGTTGGACGGGGCTTGGAGCAACCTGGGCTAGTGGAAGGTGCCCCTGCCCACAGCAGGGGGCTGGAAGGAGATGAGCTTTAAGGACCCTTCCAACCCAAACCATCTGTGACTCTATCAAGGTTTGTCCCATGTGGTATTTAACTCCAGGAGCCCACAGGGGCCCACCGTATCACCCATCACTAGACTCAGTTTGCCTGCAAACTTTCCTTCTTTTCTAGTCTTGCTCAGAAAAACATCAATCAGAAAAACCCAGAAAAATGCCTTTGTGGTAATTTGATGTGCTGAGTTTAGAGATGGTCACATAAGGACATTTTATTTGGAGAATCTGCTCAACTGCCAAGTGTTCCACCTTCAGCTTTTCAGAAAAATTCTACCCTGAAGAAAACTTGCTGTGAAATTTCAGTTCATCTTTGATACAACTTGAAAGATGCCAATTCTGTATTTACCAGATGAAGGTAAATACAGTTAAATATTCCATCCAGAGTCATTCCTGATCTGAGGAAGCCTACTGCATTCCCTCTCTTACAAAGGAAGACACTGCCTCATCTCCCGAGGAGCCCAGCGGGGTGGCTGCACCTCCTGCCCTGGCTTAGGGGTCGTTCCACTGATGAGGGCAGCATCCAAAACCCGTCAGCTGTGCCAGCTTAGCCAAAAAACACAGTTTAGCCAAAAACCTTACCAAGGTCTGTCATTACAGACTAAGAGTAAGAGCCCAGTGTGTTTAGAATCTTACAGAAGTAGATCTTCAAAACTGTCATTTTCTTCTGACAGAACACAACCATTTGAAATATGATCTTTTAATTACTGAATGTCTTAACCAGGACAACATGAAGTTTCTACCTGACCTTATCAGGTTTTGGTAAAATGTCAACAAGCAAATAGAGAAAAACTGTTGAAAACAATCATGAAGGCAGGAGAAGAACAAACTTTTGAAAGACTTCCTTTCAGAAAACAAAAATTCACATGCTAAACCACAGGCTTTGGAGGGTTTAGTTTTGATTTGTTGTGGAACCACCAAGACCATTGCAGGACATGAAACATTCAGGCCTGAAGGGATAAAAGGAAACATTGCCAAGAACATAGACTTGGGAAAAAGTTACTTTATGTTCTACATTTCAGCAATGGTGTGGAACACTCAACTGGCCTGATTTCTTAGCAGGAAAGAAAGGGTATGGCCAAGAAAATGAAGTTGAGCAACTGGAGCAAAGAGAAAGGGACTTCCTCCCACAAAAACTATATCTACTCTGAATCTACACAAACTATCTCCTTACCTTTGACCAGCAACTACTGCAGCATTTGTCTCAAGTTCTACAAGAGAAAAAGATAATTTTAAAGTCTGCTGTAGCAGTACATAACCGCTGACAAGGCATGACTAGCTCACATTTTTCTACAAGGTATTAGGTCTGAAGAATAAACTTCTCTCAAAGCAAAGCAAGTCAATATATCAAATACCATGTTGGCCAGGTCTGATTACAGCCAGCAGCAGCTAAGACAGGGAAAAGTTAAAACCCTGAGAAAAAAAACTGTAGAGAAACTCCCTGACAAGGGCTATACTTTTCTCCCTTTTTAAACTTCCATTTTAGACAGTTCATTTCTTCCGAAACTTCTAGGTTTTATTAGTTTTAAACTAATCAAAAGATACCCATATGGCTCTATTATGCATGTAAAATTTTGCCTTAACCCAGTTGTCTCTCAGCAGTATCTTCTAATGCAGAGGAAGACAAATTTATGAAGTCCAATTATATTTGTATAGAATGGGAGAAATTCTCAGGGGAGATGTTATAAAGAGAAGTCCGACCTGCCTTCTCTGTCTCTCTCAGTGATTTCATACATACAGGTCAGGTTTCCTTTGGAGTCTTCGCCTCAATAAACAGCTCTCCTTTTCAGCATAACATATCAAGTCTTTTTACTGTCCATATTTTAATTCTCCTCGTATCCACCAGATTCTTTGTTGAAAGGGAGGATCTACACCTAAACAGAGCCCTTCTGGTGAGAAACTGCCACAGATTTAGGGATTACACTGCAATGTCAGGGCTTAACTCCCTGTGGTTTGTCAGCTGCCCACAGGGAGCTCCAGCTCAATCCCCCCCAGTCAAACCTTGGGGACAGTGGGGCACAAACTGGGGCTTTGCCTTTGAGATCAATTTAGCACCCAAAGTTTCCTAGAGCGTGCATAAGGAATGAAGGTGTAAAAAAGTCCGAAAATGGATAATATCTGTCCTCTTAGGGTAAACTTGCAGTGTTGGCACATCAGCCTCTTCAGTATAAATGGATACAGCACCGTCTGGGAAAAACAGATGTCTTGGGAACAAAGGAAGAAGAGACTAAGCAACATAAGGAAAGAATTACCTTTCTTCCTAACCAAAATTTGAACAGGAAGAATATCCAATAGCAAAAAATGGATGGAATCAGTGCTTAGCCCCAGCAGGAACTCTACAATACAGCCAGAGCAGCACTGGGCAATGAGTCAGATGTGAATCAACGGGGTGTATGACCATCTTTGTTTTAGTGGAAGGTCAAAGAAAACAATTTAGCACAATTTTTACTTTCTGAAAACTCTAATCAGATTAGAGATGGCAAATGGATGGAGAGCGGCACTTCCCATAAGCAAGCCCACATCTATCCATCTTCCCTACTCATCTTAGGAATTACTTTTTTAAAAAAACTCCTAGAAATTGATGGTGAAACACCATGATAATAGATGGCAACACCAAAAAGTCATCTGCCAGGGCTCCATCTTGAAACAAACACTGCTGAGGGGGCATTAAAAGATGAACAGAAAAAAAAAGGTTACAACTCTAAAACACACTCCCAGCATGGCTTTTGGAAATATGTTCAGAACGGTATAATATAAAAGAAAAACTCCTATTAGCACTGAACGGGACTTCAAAACTCAAACACAGCATGTTGTTACAAATCCATTCCCTCCAGTCTATCACTGAATATCTAAAAACTTCCTTAGTGATTTTTTCTTGTTTTACTTGATCCCATGCTGAATCTCCCACAAAGATTTGGAGACTTCTAAAGCACAATGTATCTAGCAAAGAAAAACAATCCCAAAAGCACAAATAATAATAAACCCCCCCCCAAAACCCCAAACTACCCAGCATGTTAGTGACCACTGAATATGCATTCAAATAAATGCATTTTCGGTTCCAAACATAAAGGGTTTAGTTCACCTCTATTCTGGTTTTCCGAAGGAAGATTTACCTGTTCTTTGAACAGTATTTTCTGATGTTGCAACTGAACTTTTTTTCTGTGTTAAATGTTGAGAGGATGCTAGAATAAAAGTGGAGGGAAAAAGTATTATTGTCAAAGGGAGTCAAAGGAATTCTTGTGGTGTGACTGGGCCACTGGTACAAAATTCTCTATCTCCCAGCTGACTGTGTTTTGGCATTTAGAAATGCAATATTTTTAACCTACCCTCCACTTCCCCCCCCCACCACACACACCTCCCCATTTTAAAATAAACTTTGGCAAAACTTTCCCCAGCAAGTTTTCTCAAAGTAGAATAAGTGATGCAATTGAGTATATAAACCACATTTTTAAAGGTAACGATTTTTCAGCAGACTGAGAAATTAAAAGAAGTCCCAGAAATTCAGCAGTTTCTCATTTTAATGGTCATTCCAACAGAAGTTCTGGGGGAAAATGGCATCTTTGTTAACGAATCAATGCCCTCATTCTTTCAAATAAAGTGCAAAATATGCTCCAGAGTCGCCCTTGAAGTCCTTTGGCAAAAAGATGATGCAACTTCACATTTCTTAGATTGCCAAGTAAAAAAAGTAAGATAGAAAAATAATTTTTGCTGCACTAATGCTTTCTAGTTTTCTCTTATATGTGCTAATAAACTTATGGAGAACAGGAAGACAAAAAGTTAAACATTCCTGTTTAAATAAACAATATACACTTCCATTTTTCTCCTAAAAAAACAGAATTCCTTCTCTGAAGCTCCAAGGCTTCATTTTCCAGTGGCATACAGGTAAAACATCCAATAGCCACAGGGAAAGTCACATTGAGGCTGAATCTCTCAGTTCCCTTGACTTCTGTGGATTTTATTTTCCATGCTTTTATCTTCTGTGTCTAATTCATGTTGTAAAGCAGAACAGACACTCAGCTCACTTCAGGAGTGATGGGTTTATTTTCACACCATATTCAATAAATTAAAAATGTCATATATAAAGTCTGCTAGATGTTCAAATTAAAATAACATAGGAGAAAAGAGCTCAAATGTGAAGGTATTTTATGTTTTTATATTAGATGCAATTCTAATCACTTTTTCAGGAATTTGTCTGAAATGTTATTTAAGTTATTCCCTAGACAAATGGGGACTTGGTATGGGTTTGTTTTTTTTTCTCTTCTGGAGGTTATTCAGTTATTTCCCTAGAGGATTAGGGTTATTCAAAGAGGGAAGTAGTATTATTGGGATTAATTAAAAATATAATATTTAAATCAATAAATTGAAATAATTAAAAAAAGTCTCTGGCAAGACCAAAGCAGAGTACCAGTGTATCTACCAGTATAAAAGGCACCTTAAACATTTGTCATTACTGATGCATCCACATTTTCTCCCTGCTTCCAACATTTATATGAAATTACTCCTCTGTTCTTGCACTATATGTTAATGACAAATACCCCACTTAAGCAGCACATCGAAACTGAAATAAAACTTCTGGAACTTGAATCTTGGTGAATACCAGCCTGTGTATCGCTCAGAGATTAGAAACAAAAAAGTGTCAGCCTTGGCTGCAGTGCCTACATTTTATGACGTTCATGGAAAGCAGCATGTGGGGATTTACAGCAGCAATCCCATTTCTTCCCCTCCCCGGGCAGCACCGCACTTACCTGCGCTCGGCAGCAGCTCCTGCGGTGCTCCCGCCTTCTCCTCCGCCCTCGCGGCCCCGGGGAGCTCTGCCGGGGCCCCTCCGGGGGCACCGCTGCTCCCGCTGTTCCCGCTGGGCCCGGGGGGCTCCGCGGCTGCCGGGGGGGCTCCAGCCGGGAGCGCGGCGGGGGCAGGAGTGCTCGTGGGTGTGCTCGGGGACGTGGAGGCAGGAGCAGGAGCCGTGGGGCTGAGGCTCGAGCTGCCAGGCCCAGAAGTGCTCTGTTTTGTAAGACTGGGTGCTGGAGGGGTCACAGTTTTGTTATCTAGGTCTGCTGGTGGTTGCTCTGTTCCCAAACTATTTGGAACTGATGTTTCCAGTCCCTGACCTTCTGCTTCTCCATCCAAAGCATACTGCTCTTCGCCTTTCTCCAGGGAGCCAGTGACTTTCTTGCATGCTTTAGTCAGCAAGAGTTGGCCAATCTTGTCTACTTTTCCCTTTCCCTTGCTCGATGAAACAGGGCTGCGTCTGTTCCCAGATCCCGGGCTGCTCGTAAGCAGAGGTGAAACAACAGGTCCTGACTGCACTGCGGGCAGAGAGCTCTGGTCACCCGACCCACCACCTTGGGAAGTCTCCTCTGGACTGAAGTCCTTGACTTGCTGAGCAGGAAGGTGTGAAGCAACACTGGAAGAAGCTGTAGCAGAAGGTGGCAGCTGAACAGGAGATGCCAAGGGATTCAGAACTAGTGACCTGCTGGTGGGAATACTGGACACAGGACTGCTGGATGATGTGCTGGGAGGAGTGGGCCCCGAGGAGAACTTGATACTCTGTGGGATATGCAAAGGACCAACAACCGCGACCGACTGAGGCATCAGGCTGGAGTTAGAAGTCATGGGGGCTGCTGGAATCGTGCTGGACTGAGAGCCCTTCATAACCTGAATTATTGAGGATGAGTTTATAAAAACAGGTGTAATGAACTGTGGCCGGGCATTGGACTGAACCGCTGACTGTCCCTCTGAAACCATCACTTTGCTCCCCACGTTGGGCATTGTGACAACAGTGGACACTAATGCAGGTTGCAAGTGAGATGGCAACGGAGCTGATGTATTAGCAGCAGATGTAATAGGGTTGGAAGTCACAAAAACTGTTATCTGGTTGGGGGCTAAAGGACCTGAAACAGAAGAAGAGCTGACAGGCCTCTGCATTACTGGTGGAACACTCTGTGCCATAGTTGAGTTTACTTCTCCCAGTTCTTGGTGCCCTGGATTTGGACAGGGCTCATTGTTTTGAGGCAAGCTAAGTGAACTGGAGGGCTCCTTGCTCAAGGATGAATCCTGCAGTGGTGGAATGACAGCTATCTTCTTTAGCTCCTCACCAGTGGTGACTATCGGTGCCATTTCAAGACCAGTCAGCCCAGGGGGCTTAATGGTTACATTAGGAGCTCCAGAATTGTCAAGAAGTTGACTTAAAGAAGTTGGGGCCTCCCTCATAGCTGGAGATACCATGGTTTTACTTTCCTCCATGACTGGAAGCTTGCTAGTGTCTAAGCCTTGCCCATCTTTTTTTGACTGTTCTTCTGGAATCAACACTTTCATTTCTGGAGTAGGGATACCTTTGAGTTCAATACTGGGCTGGTCTTTGTTACCTTGGACACCTTGTGCACTTTGGCTCTCAGTATCTTGAGGCACACTTAGGGTCTCCTTATTGTCTTCAGGAATGCCAGTCACAGCAGGTACAGAAATTGCAGGACTCTGGTTACTTTGCATGGGATTATTTTGAAAACTTGTAGTCACAGGTGTTGGCAAAGAAGAGGGACCGGCCATCATATTTCTCTGTAATTCCATGTTCTGCAAGAGAGATGGGTTCTGTTGAGTTGTCAATGATAATTTAGCTGCTTTTGAATTCTGTCTGCCAGGGCTTGGTGTAGTTTTCCTACTGGATCCAGGACTGGACCTTCGACTATTGCTCGGACTTGCTCTCTTTGTTCCTCCAGCGTTGGTTTGTTTGCCTGAATTAATGACCACACCTTCCAGTTTGTGTGACTGTGAGGCTGTAAAAGCAGACTGATTGTTAATTGTGAGATTTGATGGGGCTTGTCCAATGGCCTTTAAAGTAGTGGGATTCAGACCCTGCTGATCAAATCCTCTATTGAGATTAGGCCTGGGAGGTAAAGGAATATTGATCTGGGGAGGGAACAGACCAGCTATAGAAGCATTGAGCCTCTCTGGAGACAAGCTTATTTCTGAGGGTTCTGTGCTCGGTGGACGGTTATTAGGAGTCTGAGGATAGTATGGCCTTGGGCTCGCTCTGTTCGGGGTTTTAGGCCTTGAAGTTTGTGATGGGGCAGCAACATTTGGAAAATGGTGTGTAAGAGCACTAGGCAGAGAACTAGACTGCTGCTGGGGACTTGCACCTTGGGCAGCTGAAAGTGGGGATGGTCCAGGCTTGGGTCCTGTCATCATTAATTGGTTCTGTGAAACTACTAAATGAGATGTCAAATTATTCTGAGCTCCTGATGTTGGGGGGCCCTCAGCTCCACCTCCTTCCGGAAGCGAGGATACTGATGAAACCTCTCTGAGGGGTGAGCTGGAAGGATTCTGTACATTATCTGGATAAACCATTTTTCTTGCATTATTTCCCAAAGGAGGATTGCCCGTCAAGGCAATTCTTTGCTTATCAGGAGATGGAGGCACCGATCCAGGCCCTTGGAGGTTCACCATTACTGGCATGTTCCCACTCTGCTGCATTGGCATTCGCTGAGCATCTGGGTTCAGAGGCCCTCGGGGTGGGTGAACTCCCTGTGGCACAGGCAGCCGGACCGATTTGGGATCCTGCTGCATCATCAGCATCATCATCATCTGCTGCTGCTGCTGTTGCTGCTGCGGTGTCTGTGTGGGTGCCTGGGCTGGCTGTGGTGTTGGCTGGGGCTGCTGCTGCTGCTGCTGGGGCTGGGGCTGGGGCTGCTGCGTGTGTGGCATGAGCTGAGGTGGCATCTGCTGAAGTGGCCTTTGCTCCACTGCCTGAGATGGATAACCTAAGACAACAGGATGACACATTCATTAAAACCAACCAAATATCAGGAGAAGCAGAATTTCAGTAACAAACAGGACTGGATAGAAAGTACAGCCTGGAGCCTGTTTATCTTGTGTGAGAGCCACATTAACAGAACGTGCTATGCAAACACGGCCAAAGATTTGACTTAGTTCATAAAAATATTTTTACTTAATGTATGACGTGTGGGATTTAACTGGAGATCTCTTAGTGTGGTGTATCAGCTATTAACTCAGATTCATGCCACCTGAAAAGTCTCTGCAACAGCCCATGGGCTTGATTTCACTGACAAATGCAGAGTTGGACTTTCTCTAATTAATATTCCTTAAAGCAAACTCCAGAGTTTGACAGCCCCCGAGGGTCATGGACCAGTATATTTGCTACAGACCTGACATTTTCTGGTGTACAAAGTAGAACCTGACATGTATTACTTGGCCAAAAACAGTGTTAAGAATCACTTGTGTGGTTTATAACAGAAATCCCGTTGCAGATGTTAGATTTAATCCTCTCTATGTGCAAAGGATAATTTCAACTACAACCCCTATTTATTCTGAAAAATCAGTTATTGGTTAATGCTAAATTTTTAAGACATCAGTCTGTGCTAGAGCTAGAAATACAAAATTTTTTAATCAATTATGTTATTGCTGAATAACTCTGCAGTATTCAGTATGGTACCTGCAAGATGATACATGAGAACCTGGCCACCTCTTCATTTTGAGCTAATTCAAAGAGAACACTTAAACAATGGTACCAATTGCTTACTAAGAGGAAAAAAGGTTTAAATTTGAATGTGTGATAGCACAAATAAAATAGAACAGTTAAAAGATCAATTAAAAGCTCTCCTTATTACATTTAGATAATCCACAGAAGAATCCTACTACCTGGTGGCCTACTTGCAAAATCTGAGAGTTTAGGGCCTGACTTATCTAAATTCATTCCTTGGTCTCCAGACATCGACGACTGATCACTCTCCTCCAGGCCAGCTGGACGTGGTTCTGAAGAACTGAAAGAAACATAACTGCAATTAAGATCCAGTTAAATCAGTGTTTGATTTCTGCTTCTATAACTAAGTACTCAATTAATTCGTAGCACTTTCCACAGACCTGGAATAACCCACTAAAATGCCTCTGATGCAAAATGCCAAACTGGAACACAGATCCCAGGTCTGTGTATAGCCCCTCCTCTGCCTAAAATATTACAGAAAAGGAAACAAGTTGCCTGGTGCTCTACTGATCTTAAAATGTTTATTTCTACCTTGAATCTTAGTTTTATAACTAAGAAAATACCAATGGATATTCTGAATAATATAGCTATATATTTATTCCAGCCAAACAGGCTAGAATGACATCTGTATAGATAAGCAAGTGCTATGGGTAGATGTATTTTTCATTAATTTTAAAGGTAGCACCATTTCTTCCAGAAGTGACTTGCTCAGGTATCAGAGACCTCCAATCCCATCACTGCAAAACTGCACTGACATGTCAGATATGCCAGTGACCCTCCAGAGCACAGGCCTCTGTGACTCCAGACTGGTCTGGCTTGGAAGGGACCTTAAAACTCATCTTTTTTCAACCCCTGCCACAGGCAGGGACACCTTCCACTAGCCCAGGTTGCTCCAAGCCCATCCAGCCTGGCCTTGGACACTTCCAGGGATGGGGCAGCCACAGCTGCTCTGGGCAACCAGGGTCTCCCCACCCTCACAGGGAAGATTCGTCCCAGTATCCCATCTAACCCTGCCCTCTGGCAGTGGGAAGCCATTCCCCCCTGTCTTGTCCCTCCATCCCTTGTCCCCAGTCCCTCTCCAGCTCTCCTGGAGCCCCTTTAGGCCCTGGAAGGGGCTCTCACGTCTCCCTGGAGCCTTCTCCAGGTGAACACCCCCAGCTCTCTCAGCCTGGCTCCAGAGCAGAGGGGCTCCAGCCCTCAGAGCATCTCCATGGCCTCCTCCAGACTTGCTCCAACAGCCCCACACCCTTCTTGTGCCCCAGAGCTGGAGGCAGCACTGCAGGTGGGGTCTCACCTGAGCAGAGCAGAGGGGCAGAATGCCCCACTGACCTGGGCAGTGGGGAGATCTACATAAGAAAAGCTCTAAGCAAAATTAAAGACATCAAAGTCAGTCCACTCCCAACTAAGAGAGGCAAAATCATGCAGAAATGCCACAGAAAAAGACACTTCAGCAAAATAAGAATGTGAATTACATAAGGGTGGAGAGATCTATCCTATTTAATTTTACTTGAGAGTAACAGTTTCTGGCACCTGTAGAGCTGACAGGGAGAGACCCAGGCCAGTCCTAATGTTCTATCAGCTACCGAATCAATATTCACAAAGCAGTGTGTGACTGGAAATCCCTGGGTTTCGTGGGTCACAACTGGGAAGAACATAAACCAAGAGGGACAAAAGGTGAGGAATGGGGCAAACACAGAGCTGTTCCAAGCACTGCTGCTGAGGGCAAGGACTGCCAAGGAAGCATTTGGAGTGAAACCCTGTGTCTAATCCAGCACACCACCAATTTTTGTGAGGCAGGTGGTGTAGACTTACCTGCCTCCACCAATGAATTTGATGAAAACTGGCAAAATGGATAGGTATGCCCCAGAGCATTATATTAGCAGCCACAAATGAACAAAAATTCTGGCAAGAAAATTACCCAGAGGAGCCGCAGCCTTTGGAGCAGGTACCAGCCATGTGAACCGAAAGAACTGCCTAAAATTGTGAATACAATCTCAAATTTGCAATTTTGCTATTTATGATTTATTTATAATGGTGGGAGATTAAAAATGCAACAGTTAAAGACCAGCTAAAAGCTGATACAGAGCACCACAGCACAGGCAAGTTTAACCTTGAAAACAATACTGGTGCAAGATGGATCCTTAGCAAACACCTCCTGCCAGATGGATCTGATCAGGCAGCTGTGCAAACCCGGCAAAACAGACCCGAGGTTGGTTTGCTCACAAAGAAGAGCAGTTATGGTAGGAGAGACTGCTGCTGTCACTGCTGGAAAATTTAAACATCATTTGAACGTATCTGAAATTCACGGGGCATGTTTAGCAACCACCACTCATCAACACCCCCCCCAATTATGAATATTAATAACAAGATGAGGTTTGTGTGAGAGGGACAAAATATTCTACATTTATTCTTCTTTTCTATTGCTCTGAATGTAAAAAAATATAAAAAGGTAACTGCACATCAGGTACAGTCTGGATTGTCATCAGCAAACCCTCTGCTCACCAGCTGCATTCTCAAGTACAACCTTCAGATACAAAATCCCTTGTCAGAGTAGAGAGAGAACCCCAAGAAAACCCAAACAAAATCAACCAAACCACAAAAGGCAGCAGCTGCTGTAACAAAGTGAGCAAACATAAAATGACGGTACAGATGTGGCAGAGCCAACCTTGCTGGCTCAGTCCAGTGCTCTGCAACAGCTCCTGTGGTACAGAAAGGCTCGTCCTCTGCTGCTGAGGGAGGGACACTTCCCAGAGCACTGGGGTCTGTCACCCTCAGACCTGCGGTGAAATGCTCCGAGTCTGGTTGAGAAAAGCCTCTTTGTCCTGCAGGGCTGTCACCACCTGCTCTGGGCCCTGCAAACCCAAACGCCAGCAGTGCCCTTCCCCAGTGGGTTAGTTCTGTTCTAGTGGCACACAGGATGTTCGTGGCCTGTGCACAGGGGAACATTAAACAACTGCTTGTTTGTGCATGGATTTAATAGAATTAACCAAGGCGTTTGATCTGCAATCCCATTTCATCCAGCATCTTGGTCCTCAGTTTACATCCCATTACCTACGGTCTTCAGGCTCAGAACAAACATGGCAAACACTTTTAAACAACCTACTTCTCCAAAATGTCCTGGGTTCCATTCCAATGCCAAGCTGCTCAATTAAGCAAGCCCTTAAAACTATTTTAGACTCAGCTGAATAAACTCTTTCAATAGCTTATCACTTACCCTATTTACATTCCAATATGCTCAGTCTGCAATCCATATTACTAATGGTACTTTTATTACTTCTCCGAAATTATTTCTTTTTAATGTGTTTATCAAATTAGCTGCATTTCCACACAGGGTTTGCTGCTCTGAATTATAAAATTTCTGAGGAAGAATGACAGAGAGGATGCTGAAAAGCATCATATTTGCTTCTGATGACAAAGAAGGTGATCCAAATCAGATTTAAAAGAATCAGCAATTCCAAGGCAGGAAAATGCTGAGCTTGCCTAACAATGCAAGGGAAGCCAAGAGCAAGGGAAGCAGGAAGGTATTGCAGCCAGCTTCCACTGCAGTCACACTCCTTTTGCTGGAGATTAATCTCAGAAACATGTGTGAGAACAGCTCCCTTCTTAATGCTTCTGCAAGGATATAGTCCATTTAGAACCAAAATGCTAATCCATATCAGAACAACATTCTGCAATGGCAGAGAACATAAAATGAAAATTTAGGTAATAGAGTAGGTACCAAGTGGTATTTCCTTTGTTAATTACACTGAAATCTGATTCAGAGCCTTATTTAAGAGCTAGAATTGAGTTGTCATAGTTCAATAGAAAAGCTGCAATTTAGGCTTCTCCTACTGAGAAAACTTTTTAATAAGCAAATAGTCTTGTGGGGCTGTGTAAGCTCAGAGGAGAGAATTTTATAGATCCATTTACTGATATTCCCAGGCCACACTGAGGCTGGGTGGTCATCAGTAAGGCCAATGAAAACAAAATCCTAACAAGGGTTTTTTTAATGATTAATGGATTTTCTTTTCAGAAGACAATGCCAACTCCTTTGCTTCCTCTGTCACTTCCATGGCAAGGTGCTTGCTAAGCAGTGGTTACTATTATTTTATTGGAATCTCTTTGGGCTGGAGGAGCTCGTGTCTGTGATATGGTTTCCAAGTCACCCTGAAGCTGCAGACCAGCCACACGCTGGCCCCTTGGTTCTGGCCAAGTTAATTTACCCAGGTTTCCACAGCTGGCCACAGACTGTGTCCTCCTCATACCATGCCTGTAAACAACTACACGGCAGGTACCTGGAAAGCTTTTTTCACAGCCTATTAAATTAGCATGCTTTGCTTTACCTTACAGCATTTCTGCGTTTTATTTTTGTACTAGTTAAGCCAATTAATGATTGCCACAAAAGATCACTTGCTATAGATGATGTGAGTTGTTTCAGTCCAGAATTAAAATGTTCATGAGATTATTAATTCCATCTTCATGAAGGAATCTTGACACTGTGCAGAAAATGCAGGTTGGGGCTACGCACTGAATAACTAAGGGAAAAATTAAAATATTAAGCAGTTGCTCAGTACTTGATGCCATCTTCTCTTTGCACTGAACTGTACACGTCCCTGGGAAAGGCAGCACAAACTTCAGCCTAGAGACATAACAATCACTCAAAGGAGTGGGACTGGTGGAACCAGAGCCACATTAGGAGCTTAATGTGCCACTGCTACCTTTTTGTTTGGTTTTAAGAATTTAATTTTGATATTTGGATATTCCTGAGTTATAATTTTATGTGCTAAATTTTTCCATTTTTCCTAAAGCAAACCGAAAACAATCCCCAGAAGTTCCATCAGGTGGATTCCTGTCAGTGCCCCTGGGGCTCATCTGCAGCATCAGGATAATTAGATATAGTGTATCTGCCTTCACCATTTAAGATGAATAATGGGACAGCAACAGGAATTACCCTGTGCTGGTGTTAGCAGACTGTCAATGGCAAACGGTTACAGGACAGCTGGCCAAGGAAGAATGTAATGGCCAAAAGGGAAAGAAGAGATTCTGCAATCTTGTATGTCCACTAAACAGGCACATTCATTCATTATCTTCCAATATTATCCATTTGCCTCCTCCCACTCAAGAGTTGTGGGGTTTTTTTCCTTCCTAATCTCTCCTAGGCCAGGAAGACCAGCAGTGCTTGGACTCGTTAACCTCATACCCAGAAAGTACCAAGTTCCTCCCTCTAAATTCTAGCTGCAGCTTCAACTAAGAGAGAAGTCCAGCTCAATTCCAGGTGGAAATGTGTCAGGATATGTATATAATTCAGGAAATAACCCCCAAAAATCTCTACTACACGTTTATGGAGGCTTCTAATTCTTCTGAAAGTACTTCTTTGATTGTGGCTGTCAGACTGCTCAAAAAAGGCAGCCTCCTCTTCCAAGGGCTGTGGCACCATGGGCCACATGCTAAACTTCCTTCACCTAGTAAAGGTAAGGAACAATGCTGGTATAATTGGGTTTATAAATGAGTTTGGATATTTGCATGTTATTTTTAATCTTGAACAAACATTCCAATGACAGACTCTTGAGAGTAACTGTTGCAAGGAACTGCTACAACATGAATTAATACAGGTCCTTTCTCACCCGTAACTTGCTGATAAAATATTGATAAGGTGCCTGTGGAGCTTCCCCACGCCCCTTATAAAAAACACTGTAATGTTAAACCTACGTTGTTTGTTCTAGCTGTTGATTATTTTTCTTCTTCCTTGGAGGCTTTTTCTTCTTTGGCTTGTTGGGATTCTGATTATTTTGTTTGTTGTTCACACCAAAGTGTCCTGCTGATATATCGCTTTGGAGAAGGTTAACCAAGAGTGGACTTGTGAGTGTCACATCTTTATTGACAGGAAACACAGGATTCTGCCCACAGGAAACCTGATTCCCATTTGGCGTTCCACTAAACCCTGGATTGAAAGGCAGCCCATGGCCAGAGAAATGACTCCCTGAAGCATTGTTTCCTTGCATTCCTTGCATATGAGAAGGCACCATGTTTGGCTGCTGCACAGGAACCTCAGGTAACATCTGTGTCAAGTTCACATCGTTGTTTGTTGTAGGAGTAGTGTCCCCAAGCTGCTGAGATATGTGAGGACCAGGTCCAGTGGGTCTTAAAACTTGTCCTTGAATTCCCATCACCTGAGAAGGATTCCCATTCACGGGGCCTTGCTGTGCCATCATCTGCCCAGTGAACTGCACCATGTTTCCTTGCATGTTTGGCGTTGGTCCTCTCATCAGTTGAGCTGGCCCCGTCATAACATTGGACTGGTTCTGAGTACTAAAAGGCTGTTTATTTCCTTGCATCTGAGTGGTCATCATCTGTTCCATCATCGAGTTTTGCTGTAGCAAGACCTGGCCCTGAGGTCCCATCATCTGACTGTGCGTGGACATCATCTGCTGTCCCTGCTGGGGAATCATCTGTTTAGGTGGGGTCATCCTTTGGGGAGAGGGACCAAGATTTTGGTTTTGTGGTGTCACCATCATTTGGCCTTGTGGCATGAGCTGAGTTCGCGAAAGTATCATCTGGTTTTGAGGGTTCAGTGATCCCTGAGCCTGAATGTTCACCATCTGTCCTTGAGAGGACACAATTTGCTGATGCATCCCCATAAGCTGGGACTGTGGTCCTTGCTGAGGCTGTCCCTGCATGTTGCCCATGTTAACCTGTGGCACCCCAGTAGCACCAGCCTGCTGGTTGTTCATATTTCCATGAAGTCCCATTAGATTGGTCTGCATCATATTTGGTGGGCCATGTGCTGCTTGCATCTGAGTTTGAGGAGGTCCAGATCCTTGGCCACCTTAGGAAAATAAAAACAAAACACGAGTAAGAGACTAACTGGCGTAAGAGGTTTCACACCTTTTGATGTTGAGTAATTACTCCAGAATTGTTTTCCTCCATTTTCCAAGGAACTGAAATATCTCACATATTTGCAGTTCTGGAATGTGATATTTGATGCTATAGATACATGTTAGTTGCCAAAACAGAAGATCATACATCTCAAAATAAGAACTTGGACTAGTACTTCCCCTGTACCCCACTGCAGGAGGCAGAATAGAAACTTAATTTCAGTTGTTATCTGTACCTAAGTTTGAAAATCTTCCATAATGTCAGTAGAGTAATTCCTAACCAAAATAAGCTTCAAACCTTGAGGTTACTTTATAATGGGTTAAAGAATAAATGCACATGGAATACTGATGAAATTACATTATCAGGGTTTCCATAATCCAGACAAAAGACTAATAACTGAATTGTTAAATAGAGACACTTGTGAACTAAACATTTCATTTTCACACTGTAGGCAGACTTCCAAAGCTTACTAAGGAACTAATAAATAACTTTTTCAAAGCAGAACAAGATTATTTTGTTATTGTGCTCCTAAGATAATTTTCCTTTTTTTTTTCTGGACAAGAAATTCCTTTTGTGTTGAATCTTTATTACCCCTTGCCTTCAAATCTGCTCCTTTCATTCAATTTCTTAACAGCTACTTCTGGAGCCCAGGACCACAGTCCTCATCAGTAATAGTTGGGTTGTTTGAGAAAATACAGCAGCCTCATGCTTTGCTTTTCCTCATCCAGCAATACCCACAGAATGCTGCTGCAGCCCCAGTCAGCAACTCCCTGTTAATGGCAAGAGTTATGGTCTGGGGTCTGTGTAACACAGGTAAAGGCATCCCGTGCTCTGGAAGGAAAAAGCTGAGGAACACCCATTGCAGTCAGACCTGTGTGCTGCACGTTCTGGCTGGTTTGCAGCTGTGGTGCTCCACTGTTCCCTGGTGTTCCTGGAGCTGTGGAAGGCACCTGCCCTTGCAGGAAGTTCTGGTTAGCCTGGCCTGCAGGGAACCCTGGCGGGAGGCGCTTGGGCATTCCTGAACAGGAGAATTTTCTTATTAGTAAATGTGGAAAACAGGAAGAAATAAAAAAAGAGAAAATCTATAATTGGAGAATACCTTTGAGTCTGTGCTGTCACGTTACAGGTTTAGGCAGAAAGCGTTTTTTGCCAATATACAAAACCCACTGAAGACATTTATAGTTATTATCTGTGCAATAATCCTGCCTAACAAATTACTATGACTCATTTCAATCTGTAATTTAAGTACAAAACTTACCACATAGAGGAGGTGAAAAGTCCATGTTTGACTTTTAGAAACTAGAAATTAAAGTAATGTAGTTGTACTGGTTTCTGCTGCACTTCATCTCAACTCTTAGTAGGCTTTTAACTTACTCCATATACACAAACAACCAGCATTTTTGTTACAGTGGTGTGCTCCTCTCAACAGCTCTGACAGCAGCACTCCAGGCACACATTCCTTATCAGTGCTGCTGTGTGCACACACACTCAAAAGATCTTCTCATCCCAGAGTGGCTGAGGAACCTCCAGGTTCAGCACGTCCAGACGTGCTGCTCATTCAAGTAACCCTGCTATTCCTGCTGCAAGAGCAAGGAGTTCTGTCAGGCCCGTCTCTGGCACAGCAAAACATCACTGCTGCTCTCGGACAGAGAGAAAACCTTCCCTCTACCTGCCAGCATCAGCAGCAGCATGGATAGATTTCACAGAACCAGTTCTTTTTACCTCACTGTCAAACAGACAACACCTGAGGCTTAGAACCAGCCCTGCCCCTCTCCTTATTCTTCCGACCCAGGGCCAGAATGTGACTTTGGTTCCTTCCACAGTCACAGCTTTCTCGCACACTTAATTGTGCTGCTTGTGTTAATTAATCTGGTCTTAGGTTTGTAATTAATATTTCAAGGTGATCAAGTCTACAGGTCAAACAACAAGATATATGTGCAAATATGGAACATAGACTTCTTGAAACACCACATCACTGGACTCTAGTTTTAGTTCTGCTCAACTTTTAGGGAAGTTTTGCACATAGGAACACTTGAACTGAGAAAAAAAGAAAGTGTTAGCCTGGTCTATTCAAAATCTGATATAAAGTCTGATTTGCTAAATTAACTGTGTGAAATGGAAAGTGTTTGAATGCATTCACCTACACCAAACCTTTAAATGCAAGCAGGAAAAAATCTGTAATTACAACTTAGTTAACATAATGCAAGATGGCTTAAAAACAGATAGATCCATAATTACAACTTAATTAACATATAACTTGCAGCAGAGAATGAGCATGCACAGAAGTGAGGCAAAAATCTCAGCAAGTGGGAGCAACACAGCTTTGTTGAAACCAAAGAATCCTGTCTTTTTATATCAGCTGAGGGTACAGCTCACAGCAGGATTGCTAATTTAAGCAATAAGATCTACAGTGAGGCCATATAACGTATTTTAATAGTTTATTTGCAGTGTCATTTTTAACTCAAAAAAGTAGGGTTGTGTTTGTAGTAGGTTTACTTAGGAAGGAAGGAGAATGCAAAGATTTTATTGCCTAGAGGTCACGGCTGTGATTCCTGATGGGGATATATGGCTGGTGAGGCAAAACTGTAGGGAAATATGACAATAATAAACAATTAATAACTTCTTCCAGATGGAGACAAGATAAGAAACACAAAGTACAGGGCACTGGCAGATCCTAAAAGAAGAACCTTGAAACTGAGACAATTCACCTGAACTCAAACGAGACCCATGGTACAAAGAGTGCAAATAAGAAGCTTGTCCTGATCAGCACACCAAGAAACAAGTGTTCCTTACAGGTTTGGGGCAGATTTCAGACATACAGCATGAGAATGCAAGACACTAGAATATATTTATGTATGCGTAGGTGGACAAAGAATAAGTACACAAAGAAATTATTTCAATGGCTTAAGCAAGAGCTTGTGTGTGGGGCTGGGGAGCAGACATCCAAGAGAAAGGTGAACAAATGAGTGAGCAGAGAGAAGCACGACAAGTCTGCACAGAACTACAAGAGGTTGAAGGGGAAAAAACCACAAAAGAGATCTTGGGACTGACCAAAGAAATTCCTTCACTGTTAGAGAAGAACTTTAGAATTAGTAAGGAAAAGATGCGAGTGTGTTGGTTTGAAGAGAAAACTAAAGACAACGCAGCCAAAGGAGAAGTTAAAACATCCTTTAACCTCTTAATTTCAGAGCAGAGAGTATAACAGTATGGCAGTAATAGCTCTTTCCTCTTTAAATGGGAAGAAACTGTTGACAAATAAAGACAGGGTCAAGAAGAGACATCCACAGCTTAGAAAGGAAGATGCAAAACAACACCTCATTTCTGTAGTAGAAAATGTAAATGGTGACAGAGGAAGCTGAAGAGAGAAAGAAAACGTTTGTTTGATTCCATTACACTCTCTCTCAAAAAAATCCTTCCCCTTGCCCCAAAAAAGAACAACCCCAAAACAAAACAAAACCCCTCCACCATCTCTGAAACATCCTAAGCTTGCTTAAAGGCAACAGAAGAACTGTCAAGAGGATGACTGTCAGTAATGACCAGTAACAACTGTACACAGCAACTCCACTCTGCAGAGGCCCAGAGCCTATCCCTAGGTCAGCACTGTGACACTGCAGGACACAGACAGGGAGGAGAACCCAAGTGATACTGATGCTAATTCACCCATACCCACTTCATACTCCATCTGTGCCTATATTCTGTCTTGTACAGGACCTTTTCAGAACTAACAGCAACCTTTGTGCTAGACATTTTATTTTTCTTTTCTTTTCTTTGTAAAATACAAGTCTGAGTACTTCTTACCTCCTAAACCAGGGTGTAAACCTTGTGGACCTTGGTTTTGCTGCTGCATCACCATGAAGTTGGGGGGTACATTCCCCTGTTGCACCATAGCATTACGACTAGGAGAACTGACAGGCTGCTGGAATCCCTGGGGAAGTGTGCTACTCTGGGGAGGCCTTGGTCCCAGCTGCTGCTGCGTCTGGTTAACGGTTGGAGATGAGGCAGGAGATCCCTGCTGGAAGGAGGAGGGAGAGGAAGCAGGAGACTTGTTGGTCAGGTGGGGTTGTTGTAGTGGCGTAGGAACCCGTGAGGGCCCTCCCTGAAGGCTTTTCATTTGAGGAGCAGTAAACTGGCCAGGATTGCTCATCTGGGGAAAGTTTGAGTGAGCCTGGGAAGCTTGCTGGCTTCCAAAAGGATATGGAGGTGGAGGATGAGTAGGAGTTTGTACTGTTGCTAGAGATGGTCTTGCTTGAAGTTGCTGCTGCATTTGTCCAGGCAATGGGGCCTTTTTCCAACCCTGGTTTACTGTCAATGTACCCAATGCTCCCTGGGTTGGAGGAGGCTGAAGTGCTCCAGAAGGAAGCTGGTTCCAGCCAGGGGGAACTGGAACCTGTGCTGGTGAAGTGAATGAAGGTCGAATACCCTGCTGAGGCTGCTGATGTGGCTGGGGAGGACGATTCTGCAACTGCTGCTGCTGTAGCTGCTGAAAGTTGGCTGAGTTCATCTGCCTGTTTACAGGAACTGACTGCATTGAATGGAGCTGGGGAGCTAAAGATCCCGATGGATGATTTTGCTGCTGGATATTTAGCCCAGATAAGAGTGGGTCCATTGCATCTATTAAAATAGCAAAGAAAAGCAAAAAAAAAATAACCTACTGTAGACAAAACCCATCCCAAAACAAGAAAGGATAAATTGCTTGCTTCCATTTGCTTACTCCGCATAAAATGTCACACTCCAGTTTCCAATTTCTCCAACAGACAATGCTTTAGAAGTTTTTAAAATGTCTGGGAGTCCTGGGAAGCCAAGTCTTATCAACTTATACTGTCTAAAATACAGCTCGACAGTTCCACGGTGCTTGTTGCTACAGTTTTACGTGAGCCTTCTACACACTTAGAACTATAGAATCACAGAATATCTCAGGCTGGAAAGGACTCATAAGGACACCGAGTCCAACTCCCCACTCCTGGTAGGACCACCTAGAATTAACCACAGGACTAAGAGCATTGTCCAGACACTCCCTGAGCTCTGGCAACCCTGCTGCCGTGACCACTTCCCTGGTGAGCCTGTTCCAGGGACCAACCACTCTCTGGGTGAGGAACCTTTTCCTAATATCCCATCTGAACTTCCTGTGATGCACCTGCGTTCCACCTCCTTGTGTCCCATCACTGGTCCCCCAGAGAGAGGAGATCAGCCCCTGCCTGCGCTGCCCCCTGTGAGGAAGGTGCAGACTGTGATGGGGTCACCCCTTGGCTTCTCTGAGCTCAGTGGGCCGAGTGGCCTCAGCTGCTCCTCCTAAGTCCTGCCCTCAAACCCTTTCCCTATCCTGGTCCCCCTCCTCTGGACACACTCGAGCCCTCTGATGTTCTTCATGTGCTGAGGTGCCCAAACTGCCCTCAGGACTTGAGGGGAGGCTGCCCCAGAGCAGAGTAGAGTGGGACAGACCCCCCTCATCCAGCCAGCGATGCTGGGCCTGATGCTCCCCAGGACAGGGCTGGCCCTTGGGGCTGCCAGGGCACTGCTGGCTCCTGTTCCAGTTGCCCTCAGCCCAAACCACCTGATCCCCTTCCCCAGGGCAGCTCTCCAGCCTCTCATCCTCCAGTTTGTACGTATAATTCACTTGTTAGGGCTATTCCTAACAGTTAAAAAAATAAGTACTATCATACACTAATATTCACAGAATACTTAAAACATTTATGCTATCTGTAAGAATAAATAACAAAAAACTCTACAGAACTTGACAAGGACTGCCACCATTTTATGGAGGGACAAGTAATAACCCGCACCTTTTTTCTGTAGTCCTAAAATACAAATAAGCTGAACTATCAGAATTGTGAAGAACAAACCCTAAATATTCACACCCTCCAGATCCCCAATCCTAAAACTTCTAGTCTACCTACCCCTCCTGAAAAGCATTTGTGCTCAGTCTGGGGCATTTGCTTCTTACCAGAAACATTCCTGCCTCATTGAACCAATCCTTCTCTTACCTTTAGCTAAAGATAAAGCTCAGTCACAACAGTTCAACTGGAAAAATACCACTGCCACTGCTCAACACAAAATACCAAGCAAGCTGGTGACTTACTAGGCATCCAAATTATTTGAAAAGTTTTAACAAATTAATAGGGGCAGAGAGGGTTCCTCAGAAAGTAGCTCCCAGAAGGGCAGGGAAAATGCCCCAGGACAATTCTGGAGTGCTCACATGGGTACATGCTCAAGTCTGTGTGCTGAAGAATAAAAATACAAGAACATTTTCAGGTCAGTACTGTAACTAAGTTTTACCACCTGGCTGTGAGGAAGGCCGAGGTGTTCGTGGCTGCAGCTCAGCACTAGCACCACTTGCCACCATAGAGGAGGGCACATTTCCAGCCTGGGACATCATGACAGCTGTAGCATTGCTCATTCTTATTAAACCTTAAAAAATAAACATAGAAATTATCAAGTCTTGCAGTTTTTACATAGAAGAGAATTTTAGATTTTTTCTTTTAACCAAAAAAAAAAAATATATTCATCAATAAAACATTTAGACTTCAAGAATTGTTTGCCTGAAATAACCTGAGGACACACCTCTGTCTAAAAGCTCAGATTCCTTGATATCAAACAAACAAGTTCAGGTCATACTGAAGCTTTAACACCAAACCTTTAAAAAAGATATAAAAGGAAACACTACTGAAATAACCTGAGCTTGACTTGCCACTGAAGTCATCAAGTCACAAGACCGTATCAAAGTTATAGATGTAACTCAGATTTTTGCAAAATCTGAAACTAGAAAGTAACTGAGATGTTGCAAGAGAGAAAAAAATTCAATGTTTCACTTCCACAGACTGTTATTTTATAAAATTATTGATACTGTTGCCCTGTTATTGCTGTTATATTTACACTGTTTGGCCTGCAGACAGTAAATGAAGGTCATGATTGACACAGTAGAGAGTAGAGCCCTTCTTTAAATGTTTTACATTCTTTGTTAAGCACAATAATTTCATTACCATTTAATCAGGTTTCTACAGAGTTGCAATGTCCTTCCATGCCTTCTCATCAACAGCCACAAATGCATTTTACATAAACTGACCAAAAATGCTCCTGTTTTTTTTTAAATTGCTTTAAATCCTATTAACTAAAATATTAACTAATTAGCTTTATGATTCAGCTACTAAAATAAATTATACAGTAGCTTCTTTGTAAAAACTCTTCGTAAAATCTGAATTTTGTAGTTAAAAATTCCTTATGCATATACAATGCTATAAAATGTAGAGTTTAATGAAACTACATCTCTTCACAAAAATTCCTTCTCTATGACTAGATCTTGAAAGTTTATCAGAAAATAAAGAGAGAGTAGCAATGACAGTGTCCTGGCCTTCCCATAATTCTAATGGATTTATTATTGTACATTGAATAAATGCTTGTGCTCGTTTCCATGAAGGGAGCCAAACAGAACAGTGAGACTTTGTGCCCATTTCCAAGTGAATTCTCTACACTAGACTCGTCTGCTTTAACAGGTCTTATGTAACAAACAAAACGACCAACCAACCAAACCAAGAAAACTCCAAACCACCAAACCATAAAAAAACCCAAAAACCAACCCCAAAACAAACCAGTTTCCCCCACCAAAATCACTCCAATATTTGTGGGACAAAATGCAGCCAACAATTTAGTTTACATAATGCAGGACATGGTTCGACAGCACAAAGCACGAACACACATTAATTAAAATGGCAAGTAGAATTCCGCAAACAACAGTTGCTATAGCCAGGGAAATGTCATGATTAGCTCAGTAACAAATTCCTAAGTGTCTAAAGCTCCACAGATAAACCCTGAGGGGTTTTACCTTGCCCCCCTTGCATGGGAAAGCCGGTTTCCATCCGCACGGCGTTGCTTGCTCCCAGCGGCCCGTTGATCCGGACATCCTGGCTTCTGCTCTGGGCCAGAGCCAAGTTGATGGCACCTTCCCCTAAAAGTAACACGCAGGTTGGGTGAGCAGAAGGAGACAGAAAAGCAGAATAACAGACATTTGCAGAAGGACATTTAAAAAATGCCAAGGAAGGAAGAACAGACTTCACCTATATGTTAGGACACACATCACACTACCCTTCTGGATTTCAGTTTTAAGAAGAACAAATGCCATGACAAGCACCACCTGTCCTTGGTTTCATTCTGAGGGTGCTCTTGGACAATTGTCCAGAATGGATATTTTAACTGTGAAATCCACTGAAAACTCGTTTTAAAGAAAACCTCATATGAAACGACAGGGAAAGAAAATCAGTGCACATTTTGCTACCCAACACTCAAAAAACCATTTTTCAGGCGGTTTCCTGATGCCCAGAGGATTCTCAGCTTCCATTTTTATTATTATTAAATTTTTTTCTTGAAAAAATAGAAGTCTTGAGCTATCTTTTCACTGACACTAAAGTGGGAACTTGGAAGTTTTGCAACATTAACCAAGTATGCAAAATAGCTTGTTGAGTCTACTTAAATTTTATCTTTGGAAGCAAATTCGTGTGAAATACCTTCAATCTGAACTGAGAGAATGCCCAGGTCTCGAAGCTGTTGGTTGTTATTCTGAGCCAGGATCCGCAGCCGCTCGGCAGCTTCCCGGGGAATATTGAAGGTGACACGGACGCTGTTCCAAGGTTCTATTTTTTGCACTTTTAACTTGTTGGATTCTTAACAGAAAAACAGTCAGAGTCAGTGCAAAGGCAGTTTTCAAATATGTATGATGAAATAACTTGGCTAAAAGAGATGAAAAAACTGAAACACTGGCTTTGAAAATTGCTAGTGGTTAGTCTCAGGTAGAGGAGATTTCTCCTGCACAGAAAAACACGACCAATGCTGACAAACCACTTCAGGGATTTTCCAAATATTAGCAATAAAAAAACTAACCAAATAATGCAATAGCCAACATAATCACTTGGTAGTATTACTCAAAAATTGAAATATTTTGTGGATAAACTAGTTTGGAAAGATAAGAAAATATCCACTAAAACAGATTTCATATAATTACATGTATTAGGTTTGGGTTGGAAGGGACCTTAAAGCTCATCTTGTCCCATCACCTGCCACGGGCAGGGACACCTTCCACTATCCCAGGTTGCTCCAAGCCCCATCCAACCTGGCCTTGGACACTTCCAGGGATCCAGGGGCAGCCACAGCTTCTCTGGGCAACCTGTGCCAGGGCCTCGCCACCCTCACAGCCAAGAATTCCTTACCAATATCCCATCTATCCCTGCCCTCTGGCAGTGGGAAGCCATTCCCCCTTGTCCTGTCCCTCCAGGCCCTTGTCCCAAGTCCCTCTCCAGCTCTCCTGGAGTCCCTTTAGTCACTGGAAGGGGCTCTAAGGTCTCCTGGAGCCTTCCTTTCCCCTGGTGAACCCCCCCAGCTCTCCCAGCCTGGCTCCAGAGCAGAGAGGCTCCAGCCCAGTGATACAGAAAATCTGTTCGTGAACCAAATGGATGCGGGAAAAAACTGACTACAGGAATGAAATCCTTGAAATATTTGCTCTACAAATGCTTGTGCAACCATCTTTTTTATTTTTTACAAGACCAGTGCCAACAGAGTCCTAGCAATATTTCATTATTTTCTACTATATTATTCAGTTTTCTGAGTATGTTAAATTCACTGCCAAAAAGCATATTAAAGTCATGCAAAATATGTAGTTGCAGGTTTTCTGAAAACCTGTTCTACATATGAGTGTTTCTACATAGATCAGTAGTTTTCAAAGTAACAGCAAAAAGGTTGGGCAGTCATGTTGGATGTATTATCCAAAGTGATACCTACCTAAATGATTGCTACAAAATGCATTTAAGGAAAATTAAAACATACTCCTAATAAAGGATTATAAACTTCCAGCTTCAAGCTTTCTGAAAACCAAAAGCATTGGCCAAATTTTCATCAGCCAGTTCTTCCACTGTAACATCAGATTTACTAAAAGTTTGTAAAATCAGATTTTCCACACCAGATTTACTAAAAGTTTGCTAACCTTTAGATTCTAAAGAACATGTCAGTTAAGAATGCCAATACCTCATTCCTATTTAGAAATCTCTTGATCTTCACTAATTCACCAAGCCTTCCTGCTGCTACAGTAATGGAATTATTAAATTCATCCTTGTTCTACCTATAAACGTGGTTTTTGCTGGAAACATGACAGGAGGAGTTTTAAAATCCCCTTTTGTGGAGGTTTGAACAATCCTATATTTACTGTTATTAATGTTCCAATATTTTACACACAAAAATTGCATTATCAGTTTTGGTATTTCTTTGTATTTGCACCCTAGTTTCTCAGTTTTGAAACACTGCATCTGCCTAGACTATCCCCACGTTATTTACTAACTCCACATTCAGAATATCCTATTTTGCTCTGAATCAGTTTAAATAACTTGTCACATGGGTAATTTTCAAATTAATTTGACATTGATTTTAAAAATTTGCTTTCTCAGCTGAGGTCTGACTCATGTTTATTAATCCTGGCACTAATATTCATAACAAACTCAGCGCAAGATGGTCTATATAACAACAGGACTCCGCACAGCTCCCGATTAAAGTCATTTCCATTCAGAAACTACACAATTCATCTACAGTATTAACACACATCCCTTCACACCAGTAGCTATCTGTTAGCTTATATCTACTTCAACTGCTTGAAAGATACAGCTCAAACCAGTGGTATTTCTTCATAGTATTTTTGTGTTATCCCAGCTTTTCTATCTTCCTGAGCAACAACAGCAAGGACCCAACAACTGACGCCAGCTGACTACATGGACAAAATGGAAAGGAAAGAACAAAGTGACAAAGAAATGGAGTTTGGTTATTCAGAAGTAATGGGTTATTTTTCTGAAAAGGTATTTGGTATTGTTGAAAACAACACAAGACTACCTAAATGAGCAGCTATCAGTAATCAGCTTACGGCCCTTTGCAAAGATGTTCGACAGTGGACGAATGTCTTTTGCCAGATCTAGATGTGCTGGTAAAAGATGTCCCAAAAAGCCTGTTATCACTAACTTGCTAAGTAGCTGATTGCAGAGCTGGGGGGCACACAGGGGTATGTGAGAGCATTGCATGTCCCCCATCAGGAAAAAATCAATCACGCAGGGTAGGTCAGGGTAGCAGCAAAAGGGCACTTATGTCCTCAACCAACAGTACCTGAGAGTGAACTCATTCTCAGATGAACTGCAGGGGTTTAAATTGGGTGGTTTGGGCAGCAAAACACATCTCCTGTGTGGACAAGTCTGGTTTCCCTTTCATATAACACAGCCATGTGTAATGGAGGGAAATGAAAGAGAAAAAACCCAAGTAAAACACAGGAACTGAAGAGGAATGAATGAACTCGCTAACCAGACGAGTTTTGAACAAAACAGCTGCAGACACTTGTAGTCTGCGTTTCTGAGAAGAAAACTCCCAAATTCACCAAGAATAATCCCAACAAATCTCATTACAAACTAAGTAACTCAAACCCAATATAATCTATTTATTTGTGCAAGCACCATGACGACATAAATAAGTATTTTGGGGACAGCTAAAAAATGATAAGAAGGTACATTACCCATGTGTAAAAGGCCGGGCACATTCTCCAGTATGGTATCCAGTTTCTGCTCAAAGTCTCTGTCACCTATATTTCCTTTAAAAGCTACAAAGATCGTGGAATCCCCAGGAGCAGCCTCCTGTTTCAGTTCATCTTCCTCCAGTCCTGAATCAAAATCCACCTCTAAGTCTTCCATAGCTGAGGAGTACAAGGAGGCATATGTATCTTTTAAGTTAGGCAGATCATCCAAAACCATTGTTCCAACAATGGGAGCCTGTCAGTTGTCAACATGATGCTTGGAAGGGAAAAAAAGAATTATAATAAGTATAATAATAATCATGTAAAGACATTAACAACTGCTTTCAATGGCACACACAATCACTGAGAGAAAAACCTACCGGGTGACCCCATGCTGGGCTCTCTGAGACAAACTGAGCGAGGTTGAAAATGGTGGCCATGGCAGCATCCAAACTGTTCCTCCACAAGAACAAAGGGAAGTGTTTCCTGACAGAATCCTGCTGCACGTGACTTGAGAAGTATTCCAGTTGATCTAAATGACAGTCAGGTAGAAAGGAGGGTAAAGGAAAAAAAATCAGAGGAAAATGAATTACATTCCTCCCCATTTCATAGAGGGGACAAGCAAGCACCCAGTACCAATGCTGCAGTGCCCAACTTCCAGGGAATGGTAAGACTCACAGCAATAGTTTAATTACAAAAAGATAGGAAGAACCACCGAATTTAGTTTTAGAGATTGAAGGTGCAATAAGTGTGAAGTTTGCAGGACAGTCCCAGCACATTTTACCAGGAGAAATGTAGCATTTGACAAACACTTCACTCACACTCAGAGAAATCTCAGGCATACTATGCCTACTTTCTAAAAGTTTGTAAAGATTTAGGTATTTTCAGCTGCTTTTGCACATTACAACCTGAAATCTGCTCCCCCTGTGGCAGCATACAACTCTCCCCATGCCACCATATCAGGCTTGGATAAGAATGAATTCAGTAAGTCAAGTCCCACACCTGATGGTTTTTACTTTATAAAATGTCTAGACTTGGCAATAAGTTTTGACATTATGACAGTAACCTAAGCTGTTACGTGTACAGAAGTACAATTATGGTAAGTTATCCCTAAACCTACAGTGGACACCACTAATGTTTAGTTAAGATACACATTCTCTCATTCCATCACAGGCCATTCTAATGGCTATGGCACTTCCTTTCCCAGGTGAGACATCTGCTCTAACACTCAACACTCTGCAGGTACTGCTAAGAGATTCAAACCATCTACACCAACAGTCAAAGCTGATGCCAAACCCAAAAAACAGACCTGTTCCTGACCACCACTGCCAAAACCGAACTCATTCACCAGCCAGGACTGTCAAGACCTCATCATTCCAAAGCTGTGGGTATTCAGCACAACCCACCCACGAGGTTTAGTCTGGAACAACATACCCTTGAATAGGATACAGACTGGGGTTTTGGCAGAGGTTCAAGTTCCCAAAGCAAATTAAAACCACAACTTGGAGATTAAAGGTGAGATGTAGATACTACTGACAGCCTTTTCTAATAAAAAAAATCTAACAATGTTAGACAAGCTCAGATTCAGCACTGTTCTGTTGGCACACACACATAATATGGCTGAAGGGAAAATATTACAAAGGAAAAATCAAGGACTTGGAAGTTACAAAATCCCCTCATCTTTTGGTCAGGTTTCTATGCACACACTCACTGTGATTTTACAAAACATGTGTTTTTTTCTCCCTTGCAACCCTCCCTCACACCAGACGGGCCAACAGGACTAAGGAATAATCCCCTATTTCACACAGAGTTACCCTCTCATCCTGCAGCACCAGCCCTCATCCTCACAGGACTCAAACCTCAGATTAAAAATACAGCTAATTTTGTCTCACAAGTTCTTTTGCAATCTTGTAACAGAAATTAAGCTAAAATGTTTCACAGTCACTGATCTATTTTCATACTGCTTTCATACACAATTATTCTTATGGAAATTTTAAAGATAGGCAAGAGAGACATAAATTTAAAAAAATTCATTATCAGGCAAATGTTTTTTTTTTCTCTCAGACTCCTTGCTGTCAGCTCTGTATCTAAATTACAGCTCTGAGTGTCTGCCACCTCCATTAAGTCAAACCCTCAGTTTCATGTCAGGTGCTCAGAAAATGAGAATCACAATTAATAGGAATCTGTGAAAAGCTGTTTCAATTGATTTTCACACATAATTTCTTGAACAGGAAACTTCCTTATCCAAGTAGGCTTTGCACCAAGCAGAAGAGCACTTCTACATCTTTCATTCCACATCCACTGACTCCAGGGAGAGAGGAGCTGGGAATCCTACACAAGCAGACTTTTAATGATCAAGCACAGCCATTCTGTGCAAGGAATGCATCCTGTGAAATACAAGCACTGTGTTTTTAAGAAAAGTGCATAGAACATTACTTATCTGAAAATCTTGAGTAAGTTTTTCAGGAAGAGAAATCTAAGCTCAATATACAGGCTCTTATGTGTTGAAAAAGCACACCTACTTGGAGGTGATGGGGTGTTGCACCTGCAGCAAGAAACATGAGTACATCTGACAATCCCTAACACCAAAGAAATAAGAGTTTATCTACAAGAGCATAAACATTTCCAATCTTTTTTTGAATGGAAGTGCCTGAAGCCTCCATCTTCTCTGTGAAAGAGCAGAAGACTCCCAGACTGTTTAAATCATGGTTTTACAGAATCCATGAAAATGCTGCAGCTTAGACCAGATTTCATCAACCTCATCTCAACGTACCAAAATCTGACACAACTTATTGAAATTATGGCCCTTCATAAACACTATTAGAATAGAGTTTGCTAAATCCCAAAGGACCACAGGCTTTGTTTCATTGACTCAGAGAATCACAGGACTGCAAGGATATCGTGAGTTAAGGAAACAGACGAAGACTGAGCTTTAAATTTTACCTTCTGGATCAGAACAAGTAGCTATAGCTCCTTTTGCATTTTTTCTTCACATTATGCTCCTCAGGATCTCTGCTACATCCATCTGCCCTCTCTTCCTCTCAAACACATGCAATTTAGTCCGTTCCTATATTGAGGTATCATTTATCTCAAGTATGACAGGAGAAAGCAATGATTTTCAACGTCTTCAGGCAGCACACGGCACGTCATCCATCTCGGGGCAAATAAATTCCAGCTGCATCCCTTGTCCTAACAAATTCTGTAATCTCCTGGTTATAGGGTTGACCTCCATAAATCCTGAGCCTGTACGTGATCATAATTAGCGTGTACCTTCCCTCAACACTTTTCCACATAAATACAAAAAGCTTTCAGCATGAGCACACCCAGGTAAAACTCTGGTCATTCTGATGAGTAAGAATCACACCTGAACTGATCTGCAGAACCACGGCACACTTCAGGAACTCATGCATTCATGCTTACATGGCAGCACAAAAAAGTCTCTGACCATCATCCTCCCTTCAAAGAGCACACATGGCCTCCTTCCTGTCCTTGCACCTGGCCCCTCAGAGTTTCCAAATCAGCATTTCTCATTATACAATTGTTTCTAGAAACTCAGAGCAAGTCCAGTGCTACCACACGGCAACCATCTACTCAGGAACCTGGTCTGGGACCAGCTACTGCAGCATAACAAGTGTTATGACATTTATTATGAAGTTGGTCTTATTCAGTACAGCCTAACTATTAAAAATACCTAACTGAAGTAAGAGAGGTGGGGATAAGTAGCCAAATAACAGACAAATGGCCAAAGTCCACCTGTAGTATCGTTTGGGGGTAGGGGGTGGCCCATGAAGACCAGAGTGCCCCACCTGAGGGTGCAGAGCACAGCTTGGGCTGCTAGAGCCTGGAGCTCCCAGGTACACTCAGCATATAGATAAAACAATTGACCCACTAAAACCTGCAAAACGGAGACTCTCTAGAGGAAGAATTCCTGTAGGATAGAAAGATGTCACAGTCAAATCCTGGGCTGATGGACAGCTGGGTCCCACGCTCACCACGGGAAGCCCCGAAGGCAGTTTGTCCCCCACCACCAGCCTGACATCAACAGGCCACCTGCACAACAATCCCAGCACCACACGGCTGGGCAAGGCTCGGAAAATCCCATCCAGTCCCCGGGAGAGATGGGATTAGAGCAAAATCTGAAACAGGCAGTTGTCACTAACTGGGGAGCAGCTGAGCACTGGAAAGCCAGGAGGCTCTGGAGTGCCAGCACCACCAGATGGAAGTGCTGGTCTCTAGGGTGAAAAAAACACAAAGGAAAAAAAAACCCAACTGATATATTGGTATTCTCATCCCAAGATTCACTCAAATGACCCAAACTTATGTCAATTTGTCTCTTAAACAGAACTTGAAATCTCTTGCCTTGATTTCTCCTACATATTACATGACACAAAGCACACAAACCAAACTAATGCTTTCTTAGATCACCTGTCCCACAGTCTATTGATTTACAAGCTGTTTATATGTATTCAAAATAAACACTTTCACAACTGATATCATATCAGAACATGCACTCTCTCAAAAAAAATATGCAGGGAGCCCAATTAAATAAAAAGTACTAAAATCCTACTCTACAGTACTCTTCCAAATTACACAAGATATTGGGAAGGGTGAGAGCAGAAAGAAGGGTGGACTAAAGCCCTTCAATAGCAGATGGCACAAGTTAGCACTGAACAGAGTCCTCATCCCCACAATGACCATTATTTAAAGCTGCAACAAGGAAGAGGAAGAAATGAGGTTACAGTTAAATCCCTTGGGGAACCCAGAACTGACAGTGAGAAGAAAAAGTCTTGGACAGCAGTAGCAACAAAATCTCTGAAGGATACAGAACCTTCCTTACTTCTGCCTTCCCTGGAAAAGGGTTTTCAAGGAACTTATTAGAAAAAAAAAATCAGGAAAACAGCATGACTTGGATAATACACTTGGATGTTTTCTGGTTCCTCTGTTTTAGGTGCCAGTGGGAAAATATGTAGAGGTTTTCATGATGGAGGCAGAGGAGGTTCAGCATTGCCAGAATACTGCTGAGAGGATGGCTTTCAACCCATAACATGTACTTACACACAGTCACACAGGCTACATTTAAAGTACCTATAAGACCCAGAAACACTGATCATAACACTGTTTCTATTGGAGATTTGTTCACATTATCCTCCTACAATTGTTTCATTTGTTGCCAGCATAGTGATCTGTTAAATTGTTAAATCTGAACAAGTAATAAACCTAGATACCCACAACCCTTCCACGACACAAAGATTAAAATGACATCATTTCTGGCAAAGATAGACTTCTAAACAAAAAAAAAAGACTTTTAAACAAATTCTAGGCAAATGTCATTTTGTCACACAAGGAGATTAAATAAGGCTAAGAATCACTGGTGTAACATGAAAGAATACCTAAAAATAAACTAATAAAAATAATTAAACATGCAGTAAAATTTCCTCTGAAACAACTTAACCAGGGGTAGTTCCAGTAATTTGGAATTTCAAACTTTGGTAATAAAGAGGGATAGCACCACAAATGCACCTCAATTGTTCTCTTTGGGAGGAAGGTCTGGAAACAGCCACAAACCTGATGGCAAATGTCCCTAACCCCAGCTCAGCCCTGCAGTGAAGACAAGGGCCCACCAGTGGCACAGGTAAGGGAGAATGTATAAGGACAAGAAGTATTTAGATGCATCATATGCTTACTTTACCTACCAAAACAAATTCCACAACTTTAGTATTTTGTGGTGTGAAACAGGTCTTCAGGTAATTCCAGACTGGCAAACATGGTTAAACAGCAACTCCCAAAAATGCAATCCTGAAAGAAAACCACCACATTTCATCAGACAATGATGCAAAACAACAAAAATACCAAATATAATGGTGAATACCTCCGTTTTTAATATGCAGTTTTGTACCAAATCAAACTCTCTCCTTAGTAATGTAAAAAGCACATGTTACTATGTTTGGATTTTAACAGCAAAACTGAGGATCTCAAAAAATCAGCCTTTCGTTATAGACAGAAAATGGAATACTCCCTTTGCCTGGAAATAACATTTTATTATATGAAACAGGGCAAGTTTTATCTAGAATAATGTATTTTTTTCTTAAGACAAACACATCTAGATTAAATTAATCTTCAGAAAAGAGAAGGCAGCACAACCAGAATGCCCCTCAGCTCATCCTAAGCAGGCGCCTAAACCGGCTCAGGTTAAGCTCATTCCAAAAGCACGTTCCGAGCCCACACGACCACCTCAGACAGACACTGTTAGTGCAGGGGAACCCATCCCCGGAACCTGCTCCTGTTCACGGGCTCCTCAAGATGCACTCAAGCCTCCCCGGGTAATAAAAACGCAGCAGTAAAGCCAATGGCTCCAGCGACAAAGCCCCGCCCCTCAAATCAACGGGATCTATAGGGACAGCCCAGGGCTGGTGTGCAAGCACATTTTCTGCTTACGTGCCTGCCTGCTCATCAGTGGGGAAGAGGACTGCCCAAAAACAAACAGGGGAAGCAGAAGAGGGACGACTCAGAAAGACAAAGCAGAAATTTGCCATCTTCTATCCAGACAACACAGCAAAATTGCTTTAAAAGTCCTATTGTGCCATAGCCTTTGCACTTCTGCCAACCCAGCAACTTGGAGGGAAGGAAAGAGGATTTACATTAAATGAGATCATATATGCTTTGCACTTTTAATAGTCATCTAACACCTTTCAACCTCTAGTATCTTCTTGTATTTCTAAATAATCACTGTAATTCAAGAAGCATAGCACCAAGTTGAAGACCTGAGTGGCTAAATCACAAGCAGTGACCTGTTTCCAGCTATATGCACCTGTCCAAACACCGTGACCCGACATCAAGTTGATGAGCAAAACCAAAATCTGAAACAGGAAATTTTAATATAATTCATTGTGTAATCCAAAACTAAAAAAGCTTTTCACATTCTACAGCAGATACTCCATTAGTTCCATTTTTTCACCCTTTTTATGAAACAATGTTCCACAGATTATTTTAGATGGCCTAAAACTGAGTCACATAACAAACTGGCTGGTTAGTTCCAAAGCCATGCCAAGATAGGAAAGGCCAGGCCTTGTAAAAGCTGTTTTTAAGGAGGCCTCTGAGGTGCAGCAGCCAGTCCCCACGCAGAGCACCCACACCTTAGCACAGCAGGGTGAGGGGGCCATTTGGCTGATGGGTGGGGAAATGGAGGGAAGAAAAATCATCTGAACTCCTTGGTGCAAGGAACAGAGGGGCTTTTGTTCCTCCAGTTCTCCCTTCTGACTGGCCCTCGTTACAGGAGGAGGGCGTGAGATGCTCTGTGGACACCCAACTGCTCCAGAGAAGAGGGACTGGGAGGGACCAGCTGCCTGAGCAAGATCCAGTAAGAAACTGAGGATGGTCAGCCTGGGCTATGGGAAGAAAAACAATTAACTGCTGCTGTCTCCATTCCCACTGCACACTTGGGATGAGACCAAATTTGCTAAAGGAAAGCACCCAATCAATACTGGTTCATTAACTCCAACTTTCATTACAGTAAGTTACCTGACTTACAGTAAGAGACCTGGAGACTGAGCACACACCTTAGCAGATCCCAAGGGATCCATAAAAACAGCCCTGTTACAGAAAGACTTGTGCAGCGTTAATGATTTCCCAAACACCAAGAAAACAAAACATGTTAGTCTCCAGGAAGGCAGGTTTCATTCACTCATGCTGACACAGTACTGCACTCCTGTAGCCCTCAAGCATAAAACATCTAAAGCCAAATGTTTTCCACAAGGAGAAAATTACAGCTTGTTATAACATGTATTACCTTTTGCAGTGATATCCTGATGTACTCTGACAGCAGGTTTAATGAAACATCTGTTTGTTAAAGTTTCATGAGGTTTGTTGAAAGCCCACGACTCAAGCCCAGCTGTAATGGACATGTCTCAGCTGAGATATTAGTTTTTCTTCCAAAAGAATTTGACTGCTGAGATCCTCAGGACTTCTCTCAAAAGCAAGACAATAACTCCAGAACAAGCCTCAAACACACCTAAGTTATCCACATAGAAATTCCCACTT